CCAAAACAGCATGGTACTAGTATAAAAACAGACACATAGACCAATAGAATAGAGAACCCAGAAATAAATCCACATATTTACAGCCAACTGATTTTCAACAAAGGATCCAAGAACATACATTGGAGAAAGGGCAGTCTCTTCAATAATTGGTGCTGGGAAAACTGGATATCCTTATGCAGAAGAAAGAAACTAGATCCCTATCTCTCACCATATACAAAAATTAACTCAAAATGGATTAAAGACTTAAATGTGAGAACTGAAACTATAAAACTACTAGAAGAAAATATAGAATCATATCAAGACATTGGTCTGAGCAAAGATTTTATGGATAAGGTTCTAAAGCACAGGCAACAAAAGCAAAAATTGGCAAATTGGATTATATCAAACTAAAAATCTTCTGCACAGCAAAAGAAACAATCAGAAGAATGAAGAGGCAACCTGCAGAATAGGAGAAAATATTTGCAAACTATTCATCTGAAAGGGATTAATAGCCAGAATACACAAGTGTATTAGTCTGTTTTTATGTTGCTATAACAAAATATCTGAGGCTGGGTAATTTATAAAGAATTGAGGTTTGTTTGGCTCATGATTCTGGGACAGCTACATCTGGCATGGGCCTCCGACTGCTTCTACTCATGATGAAAAGTGGCAGGTAGCAGGCATGTGCAAGATATCTCATGGAGAGAGAAGCTGAGGAGAGAGGTGAGGTGCCAGGCTCCTTTAACAACCAGCTCTCTGGGGAACTAATAGAGAACTCACTCACCATCCTCCCCCGCACTAATTGCATTAATTTATTCATGAATATCTGCTCCCACGACCCAATCACTTTCCACTAAGCCCCACCTCCCAACACTGCCACATTGGGGATCAAATTTCAACATGAATTTTGAGGGCCAACCATATCCAAACTACAGCAATGAGAAACTCAAACAACAGCCAAAAAAAAAAAAAAAAACAAATAACCTAATCAAAAAAATGGGCAAATGAGTTGAATAGACATTTCTCAAAAGAAGACATACAATGGTCAAGAGGTACATGGGAAAATGTTCAATATCACTAATCATCAGAGAAATACAAATCAAAATCACAATGAGATACCATCTCACTCTAGTCAGAATTATCAAAAAGACAGAAAATAACAAATGTTGGCAAGGATGCAGAGAAAGGGGAACTCTTATAAACTGTTGGTGGAAATGTGAATTAATATAGCCATTATAGAAAACAGTATGGAGGTTCCTCAAAAATATTAAAATAGAACTACCACATGAACCAGCAATCCCACAACTGAGTTGATATAAAAATGAAAGGAAATCCATATGTCAAAGAAATATTTGCACTCCCATATGGAATCAACCTAGGTGTCCATCAACAGATAAATGGATAAAGGAAAATGCGGTATATATACACAATGGAATCCTATTCAGCCATAAAAAAGAGTAAAATCCTGCCATTCAAGGCAGCCTGGATAAGCCTGGAAGACATTACGTTAAGTGAAATAATTCAGGCACAGAAAGATAAATACTGCATGTTCTCATTCATACATGGGGAACTAAAAAAGATCTTAGAAGTAGAGAGTAGAATTGTGGTTACTAGAGGCTGGGAAGTGTAGTGGGGAGGAGTGTTAGGGAGAGGTTGGTTAACAGATACAAACTTACAGCCAGATAGGAAGAATAAGTTCTAGTGTTCTTTAACACTGTTAGGTGCCTGTAGTTAACAATAATTTATTTTATATTTTCAAACAGATAAAAGAGGGGATTTCAAAGGTTCCCAAATCAAACAAAATGATGAATGTTTGAGGTGACAGATATGCTTCCCTGATTTGATCAGTACACATTATACACATATATCAAAATATCACTCTGTACCCCATAAATATGTACAACTATTATGTGTCAATTAAGAAAATTAAATTTAAAAATAGATAAACATGGTCCATAAACCTGACTGATGTTGCTATATTTTTTTTCTTTTAATTTTACAGATAAATTTGCCAAAGATGGATCTCCTCTTATTATAGGTATACTTTATACATTATTTATTAGGTATATTTATATTTATATATTGATTTATAATTCATATTCATTTATAAATATATATAAATTTATATTTATATTTTCAGGTATACTTCATAAATATAATTTATAAATATGTTAGTAAATATTAAATTCAGTGACTTCTGCATATAAAGTAAAATGCTATAGGTTCCCCTACTTATCTATGAGAGGAATTTTTTACATGTCCTTAAATTAATATGACATTGACTTGAGTTTTAATAGCTAGATATTAGGAAGGGATGTTTATTTCACTGCACTCCTTGTGTTTCCACGTAGAAGAACTTCCACTAGTATAAACTTACATGTCCTTAAATTAATATGACATTGACTTGAGTTTTAATAGCTAGATATTAGGGAGTGATGTTTATTTCACTGCACTCCTTGTGTTTCCACGTAGAAGAACTTCCACTAGTATAAACTTCCTGGCGTCTCTTACCAGAACTAAGTTATCTGATTTGTGAGTTTAATAGGAGGAACCAGGTATGCTGGCTCAGCCTCTTTTTTTTTTTTTTTCTTTCTTTTTCTTTTTTTCTGGCTCAGCTTTTCTGCAGAGAGGACACATTGTTACTTGCTCTCCTGTTAACCATAAAGGAACTAGACTTTATGGAATAGGGGTAGGGGAAGGTTTAAATTGGTCCAGTTCTGCCTTTGATTGGGTGGATAAGTTGAATTCTGGAATTCAACATTAGAAAACTCTCTTGGCTCACATCTACACTATGTCACAACTTTTATCAGTAATAGAGCTACATTTTAATGACCATCTATCTGACTCCTGCATTTGTCTCTCAAATGGTTCTGAACTTGGGTGGGAATGAAAGTATATGTATTTCCTGACACTGAAAGATGCTTATAATCACAATACTGGGGTCATCTTGAGCATTTATCAGAAGTTCAGAACTCAAGATTCAAGAGCCAGGAATATCTCTTCTGACCACAACAAGGGGAAGAAAATAAAATAGTCTGAAGCAACTGTGAGACATAACTTCCTCCTCCAGAATAACCAGGAAGACTCATCCAATTTTCCCTACCCACAAAAGCTACAGGATCCATCAACAGAAACTGGGTAAAGAAATCTGGAATTGCAGGAGTGACATTAAAAAGTCTGAATGGGGCCGGCCCGGTGGCGCACTGGATAGTGCGCTGCTTGGGAAGCGTGGCAGCGCTCCCGCCCGAGGGTTCGGATCCCATATACA